TGATAAAAAGCCTGAAGCCCAAGCCCGAGCCCGAAGTCTGACTTAATAAAAAAAATTACAATTTTCCCTATTCAAATTAGAATTAAAAATTCAGATGATTTTTTTTTCCTATTTAAATGAACAATGGGCCTACAAGATGGTTTTTTTCCCTTTCTTTTATGTTTTAAAACATAGTTTTACATTCTTAAATCAAAAAATTTATTCCAATGGACATAATCACATAAGCCATTTTAAGTCTAATTTTAGGTCGGGTTGGGCCGGGCTCAAGCCGGGCTATTTTGGCAAAACCCGAGCCCGGCTCGAATTTATTGCGGTCGGGCTTTTTGGCCCGAGTTTAAGCCCGCGGACCTATAAACATGTTCAAGCCCGTCCGAGGACCGGGTTGGGCCGGGCCGAACCATAAGGCCACCCAGGCCGGGCCGGGCCGACCTGTCAGGCCACCCGGCCCATGAACAGGTCTAATAGTAGTTAAGGAACACCCACTTCGGTAATTTAACTCGATAGCTTAACAACTCAGGGTAAGACAATCATTTTGGCAAAGCTAAATTACAAAAACACTTAGCAAAAAGTATTTTTCATTGCAAAACATACTTCACTATAGAGACTTCATTACAAAATGTGGAGTTGATTACAAAAGAAAGAGATGCAAAATTGAGCTCGCAGGCCCAAAGTACAAAGACTACTCAAGGGGTTCATCCTTCTTATTCGTAGCCTCCGTAGCGCCGGCCTGGTCGGTGGTGGTATCCTCGTCATCATCACCCTCTGGTTCAGAGTTCGGGTCCTCGGCGGCTAGATTGGCTACCTCTCCTGTGATCTGCGAGGTGGTGATCGCGCTCACATCAAGTTGCGGGAACTTGCGCTTTATCAACCACCTACTAAGCATGAAGCCTTTATGGTAGGCCTCCACCATCACCGCATCAAACTCCTCCGACTGGACATAATCCTGAACGGCCTTGGCCTTAGCCTCGTCCATGGCACCAACAAGGATTTCAATCCACTCCTTGACATCGGCCTCCAGGCTCTCTACTTGACGCTTCAGGGTCACCTTGTCCGACTCAAGGTTTTTCACCCGGAGCAGCAACTCCTCCTTCTCGCAAGAACCCCTCCTTCTCATGCTGCAACTCCTCTTTCTCCGACATCAATACTTGAATGTAGTTCTATTGAGTAATGGCGTCACTCTCCAACCGGTGAATCTGACTGCGAGCTAACTTCAGGTCAGTGTGAGCCTTGCGGGTTGAGTCCTCGGTAGCCAGAGCTCGCTTCAAGTGCCTCTCGGATTGGAGAGTAAGGGCATGCACGACGGAGTTCACTTGCCAAGAAAGTGCCAGTTAGCACCAGTAAGGTAACAAATCACAAAGAATTATAAGTGCAATGAGACTTACCACCATGGAATGAGTAGCTGCCCGAGCTCCGAGCTGAGCAGGCTTTAGCTCAGCCCAGTCAGATACCTCCTCGGCACAAACTGCCTTCTTGCTCTTTCGGAGGCTGTACTTGGGGTTCAGGACACTTCGGGTTGCCTCTCCGCTCCCCGACGTGGTAACGGCCATCTCGGGAGCGGGCTCCACAGTAGCAGGTTCCGCAGTTGTAGGCTCCATAGTGGTTTCGGGCTCTCGAGGGGGGATCTCTGACTCTTCCAAGTTAATCACCGGAGGAGCTTGAGTGGGCTATGCGGGCTCGGGAGTAGAAGCTCACGGGAACTCAATACGAGCTCTCTTAGAAGCTTGTTTCTGTCTCCTCTTCATTTTTCCGAACAGCTTCTCGGCACTAAGACGCTCCATAGGACCTGCAACAGAGTTTGACATCAGTGATGCTACTAAGAAAGAAGTACCGACTACCAAAGAAAAATACTAACTCTAAGACAAGGCAACCTAACAGGACTCAGGCCGACCTGAATAAGTTTCTTCTCGGCAATGAAGTCCTTGTAGTCGAAGCTGAGCTCCACCCACGACTGGAGTGTCTCCCTTGTGTCCTTGTCCAGCGTAATGCTGGAGTCTTGAATGGCCACCCTTCAGTGAATAGGGAAGGGCCACCCCTGAGGGTTCCGAACTATGAAGTAATCCCATTTCCAGGCCAGGATTTTGTTAGGGAGGTTGTGTAGCAACTTGAAGCCCGAGCGGGGGAACAAGTAATAAGTTCGCCTGTGCTCGGGGAGAACGCTAGACGCATTCTTCTTTATCGACAGGATTGAAGAAAAAATATCGAGGTCAAGTGGAAGGGCGTAGTCAAAACAGAGGGAGATTGTCCCGACCACATTTCGAATGGAGTTCGGGTGGAGTTGGTCTATGGTTACGTCGAAGTGGTTTAATACTTCAATGATCAAGGGATGCAGAGAAAGTCAGAGTTGTTATGGGCTCGGGCGTAGGATCTCGTCACGGGTTGGTCCACGGGGAAAATCTCCTATTTTCCCTTGTTCCTCCCCTTCCTAGATGAACCTATATTGCCATCCAGACCCTCCTTGCTGAATAGGGAGACCTCCAACTCTATCTTGATAAGATAAGACTGATAAGATAATATAAGTCTCTCTTAATCCTAATCTAATAAGATAAGATAATCTCTCTTAATCCTAATCTAATAAGATATGTCTCTCTTAATCCTAATCTAAT